GCTCAGTGGGTTAAAGCCTCTGCCTTCGGCTCAGGTCATGATCCCAGGGTCCTGGGATTGAGCCCTGCTGGCTCTCTGCTCAGCAGGGAGTCTGCTTCTCCCTCTCCCTCTGCCTTTCCCCCTGCTCCTCATGTTCTCTTTCTCTCTCTAAAAATAAATAAAATCTTAAAAAAAAAGAAACTGTGGTGCAAAATAGTTTGATGGTTCCTCAAAAAGTTAAACAGAATTCTTATGTGACATAATGATTCCCTCCTAGGCATATACCCCAAATAACTAAAAACAGGAACTCAAACAGGGATGTGTACACCGATGTTCATAAGCAACATTATTCACAATAGCCAAAAGGTGGAAACAACCCAAGTGTCCATCAACAGATGAATGGATATACAAAATATGATACGTACATACAATAGGGATATTACTCAGACATAAAAAGTAATGCAGTTCTGACACATGCTGTAAGGTAGATGAATCTTGAAAACATTAGGCTAAGTAAAATTAGCCAGACACAAAGGGCACATATTACATGATTCCACATATATGAGGTATAGGCAAATTCAGAGAGACAAAAAGTAGAATAGAGGATTCCAGGGGACAAGGGAATTTATTGTCTAATGGATACAGTTTCTGTTTGGGATGATGAAATCATTCTAGAAAGAGAGGTAATAGTTACACAACATTGTGAATGTACTTAATTCCACTGAACTGTACATTTTATTTTATTTTTATTTATTTATTTTTAAGGATTTTATTTATTTATTTGACAGAGAGAAAGAGAGAGATCACAAGTAGGCAGAGAGGCAGACAGAGAGAGAGGGGGAAGCAGGCTCCCTGCTTAGCAGAGAGCCAGCAGGGCTCAATCCCAGGACCCTGGGATCACGACCTGAGCCAAAGGCAGAGGCTTAACCCACTGAGCCACCCAGGCGCCCCTGAACTGTACATTTTAAAATAGCTAAAATGTGGGGTGCCTGGATGGTTCAGTGGGTTAAGCCTCTGCCTTCGGCTTGGGTCATGATCGCAGGGTTCTGGGATCGAGCCCCGCATCGGGCTCTCTGCTCAGCGGGAAGCCTGCTTCTCCCTCTCTCTCTGCCTGCCTCTCTGCCTACTTGTGATCTCTCTCTCTGTCAAATAAATAAATAAAATCTTAAAAAAATAGCTAAAATGTTGTTTTATGTTACATCTATTTTGCCACAATAAGAAAATTTAAAGATACTATGAATAATTTTATGTTGAAACATGTAAAAACTTCAGTGAAATTTATAAATTCCTAGATAAGTTAAACCTACCAAAATTGACTTAAAAATAAATAGAAAAGCTGACTAATTAAAATAAATCCATATTTAAATTGCTGCATTAAAAAACCCACCAGGCTTATATTTAGAGGTGAGGCCTATCAAACTGTCAAGGAACAGATGATTACAGTCTTACTCAAATGCTCATAGTGAGTAAAAAAGAGGAAATGCTCAACTTCAACTATGAGGCTAGCATAACTTTGATATTAAAAACAAATGAGGAAATTTCAAGAAAGAAAATATTACAGATTCATCTAATTCATATACATGCAAAAATCCTAAGCAAAATATTGATAAGCCAACTCTAGAATGTATAACAAAGGAGAAATGCAATTATACTATTATAATTGCACTTTATATTATATATAACAATTATATGTGAATATATGTAATATATTATCATATATGAAGTAATTATAATATTAGCTCAAGGTAGACTATGATAGGTTAAAGATCAATATTGCAATCCCTTGAGCAACCACTACAATTAATCCACAGATATAGAACCAGTAGAGGAGACAGAATGCGATACTAAAAACAAAATTAATAAAAAAAAAACTTGATTAGAACAAAATACAAAAGTTCCATCAGGCTTTTTGTAGAATCAATCTAAGTTTCCATGAACAGGGGGATAGGTAAATAAACTGTCATATCCACATATTGAAGTACTATCAGAAATCAAGAGGAACAAAACACTTATCCATGAAACAACATGGGTGAGTTCCTAAAACGCGATGCTGAGCCAAAGAAGTGGTAGAAAAAGAAAAAACCATATGTCTGATTTCATTTACATGAAGTTGTAGGAAAAGCAAAACAAATCTATAGTGATAGACAACACAACGACTGACCCCAGGGCCTGGGGAGATTGACTAAAAGGGGACATATGGCAGCTTTTTGGGATTATGAAACTTTCTTCCCATGGTGGCTACATGGGTGTATTTGCCAAAATTCATTAGACTGTATACTTAAAATATGTGCGTTTTATTATTTGCAAACAAGACCTCAATAAAAAAATAAAAAGTTGTTATTAAGATGAAGATGAAAAGCCCCAAACTTAGGGAAGGTATGTATAATACGCCCATCCGACAAAAGATTGTTCCCAGAAAAAGTAACATACAAGCCAGTAAGCACAAGACAGCCAAAAAGAATGATGGATAAAATACATCGATAGGCTTTTTACAGATAGAAAAAACAAACTTTTGTAAATATATGAAAAGATGCCCAACCTCCATATGTAATCAGGAAAATGCAAATCAAGATCTTATAAGCTACCATCTTACACCCACCATCGGCAAAAATGAAAAGGCTGGTGGACAACACAAAGTACGGGTGAGAACGAAAAGCAAAAGAAATTCTCATATTGAGCTGATGAGAGTGTAATTTGGTATAATTTCTTTTGGTTTGAATTCCTCTTTCATTCCAGGGTATATAATTTAGAGGAAGTCTTGCGCTTGAGACCAGGAGACATGTACAAGAATGTTTATAACACAATTATTATAGTAGGAAAAAAAGATAAGTCTCAAGTGTCTGCATATACCACATAATTGGTGCTATAATCATACAGGAGAATATATACAGAAGTGAAAATGAACTTCGACTACACATACCAACATAAAAAATACCCCTAATATTGAGCAAAAGATGGAAAACAGATGAATACAGACTGAAAAGTTCCATTTGTTTAAAATGTAAAAAAGAGTATGCTGTTTAGGGTTGCATACATAGATGGTAAAAACTGAAAAGTAAAACAAGGGAGTGATTACCACGAGGGTCAGGAGTGTGGTTATTTCTTGGATAAATGGGTCTGGGAAGAACAACAGGGAACTTCTAAGATGCTGACAATTTTCTACCTTTTATTTTTTTTATTTTATTTTATTTTTTTTAAGATTTTATTTATTTATTTGACAGAGAGAAATCACAAGCAGGCAGAGAGGCAGGCAGAGAGAGAGGAGGAAGCAGGCTCCCTGCTGAGCAGAAAGCCCGATGTGGGGCTTGAACCCAGGACCTGGGATCATGACCTGAGCCAAAGGCAGCGGCTTAACCCACTGAGCCACCCAGGCGCCCCAATTTTCTACCTTTTAAGCTGAATGCTGAGTTTTGGGGTACTCATTTCATTCATCTTTAAATGGTATATATACATTGAACATGTTTTTTGTGTATATTTCATAATTTAAAAACAAGTAGAACATTATGCGAAGTGAAAGAAGCCAGACACCAAGGACCACATATTGTGAATCTATGTGTATGATAAAATATCCGGAACAGGAAACTCCACAGAGACAGAAAGTAGATTAATGGTTGCCTGAGGTTGGGGATGCAGGGGAGAAGTAGAGAGTGACTGCACGTGGGTACAGGGTTTCTTTTGGAGTGGTAAAAATGTTCTAGAATTGACCATGGTGATGGTTGCCCAATTCTGTGAATACATGAAAAACTACTGAATTGCATACTTTACATAATTGAATTATATAGTGTGTGAATTCTATTTCACTCAAGAGCGGTTCTTAAAAATCCAGGGAAGTGGGATGCACAGAAAGGCTCTCAAGGGGCAAGGAAATTGCAAAGCTGTTGAAGACGAAGTTGAGAGTAGTGGTTCTCAAACTCTAGCATGCATCTAAATCACATGATAGGCTTGTTAAAACACAGATTGTGGGGCACCATCTCCAGCTTTCCTGATTCTGTAAGGACTGAGGTGGGGCCAAGAATTTGCATTTTTTTTTAAGAGAGAGAGCACACATGAGTGGGGCGGCGGGAGAAGGGGGAGAGGGAGAGAGAGAATTTTAAGCAGACTTCATCTCAGCACAGAACCCATTGTGGGGCTCCATCTCACAACCCTGAGATAATGACCTGAGCTGAATTCAAGAGTCAGGTGCTTAACCAACTGAGTCAGCCAGGCGCCCCTAGAATCTGCATTTCTAAAAGTTCCCAGGTGATCCCGGTGTCCTGCCCAGGGATTGCACTTTGAGAAATGCTACACCATAGAGCCTGGTATAGGTGTTTAATAAGTATATATTGGATTAATGGGTGAATGGATGGATGGGAGTTTGGCTGAGTGTTTGGGTCGTGGATGGGTAGGAGTTGAATGGATGAGTAGATTAATGGATGTTGGTGGGTGAGTAGATTAATGGATGGATAGCAGGTGGGAAGATGAGTAGCAGAAAATGGTTGCATGAATGGGTCAGGGCTGGTTCAGAGTAGAAGGGAAGAAGTTGGGGTTGGGGAAGTTGTAGTGTGAAATGTAGTGTAGAGAAGAACTTGGGAGTGAATGCCTACTTTCAACTCTTGTCGTGGGCTCACCACCCGCTAGCTGTGCAATGTTTGGCAGGTGACTTCACTTCTCTGAAGCTCATTTTCCTTATGTGAGACATATGGGTTAACAATGCCTATGAGGGGTGCCTGGGTGGCTCAGTGGGTTGAAGCCTCTGCCTTCGGCTCAGGTCATGATCTCGGCGTTCTGGGATCGAGCCCTGCATCGGGCTCTCCGCTCAGTGGAGAGCCTGCTTCCCCCTCCCTCTCTCTCTCTGTCTGCCTCTCTGTCTGCTTGTGATCTCTGTCTGTCAAATAAATAAAATATTTAAAAAAAAAAACAAAAAAAACCAAAAAAAACCCAATGCCTATGAATTTCTATGAGCTAATACCCTTAAAAAGGCCAAGTGCAGAGCCTGGGAGGCAGGGGATGCTCTCTACTCTTGGGTTGGATCTGACTATTACCATCATATATCACTGGGCTGTACTGTGTGGTTGAGACACAAGGCTTGTAATTCAGGTCCATCTTGTTTCCATAGTGGCCAATGCTGACCTCGAACTGGATCAGATCCTTAAAGTTGGGCATCATGGTACAGGAAAGGAAGATGACACACAGCCCATACTTCTGGCGGTGATGGTGTCTCTAAAACAATACCCCCCCCACATTCCAGTACATAAGCCAAGGGATGAACAAGGCTATAGAGACAGGCAAGGAGGCAAAGATGAGGTGCCTTTTTTTTTTTAAGCCATTTTGCTTCTCTTCAAGGTGAGCTGGGCCATCTTTGAACCCACACCCCCTAGAAATCCTGCGTAGACTCCTGCTCAAGGGCAGTTCCACCCGGGTCCTCCATCACCTGGTCCCCTCCTCCCAGCCAGCTGTGGTTCCTTTCTTTCCTTGGAGGGAGTCTTCTCCTTCCAAGGCCCTGAGGGTCAGGCTGGGGCTCTGACTTGGGCTACCCCATCCTTCTCCTGTTTTGCCTCAATGCCCTCCCCTCATGGAATGAGCATGGGCAGGGGTGTCGTGAGGGTGGCACATGCATGCACATCTACTCTGAGCCCTTCTCCAGTGGCTTCCTCCCACCATGCCGCCTCTCTGCTGGAAGTCCTCCATCTACCACCGACCGTGTCAGCTGCTTTCATTTCAGTGGCCATCTCCTGCCCTCCTCTTGCACTCTCCCAGTCTGTTCACTAGCTCAGGTCTGCCCTGTCATAAAAAATAACCCTCCTTCTCCCCTCTGAGCCTCTGTTGAGCTCCCATCTGATTTTGTCTTCTTCCACTTTTCCAGCCAAGTTTCTGTGCACTTGCCTCTATGCAGAGTCTGCAACTTCTCCCTTGCACCTGTGTGGCCTGGCAACTCTTCCCTGGGTTGGAGGGGTTGCCTCCATGCTCCTCTTTGCAGACTCCTCCCCAGTTTCTCCTGCAAGCTCCCCCTCCTCCTCTACCTGCCTTAGGCTGTGGCACCCTTTCACCAACCTACTCCTCCCAGGCATTTCCTTCACAACTCTGTGTTCAGATCCTAGCGTGATGACGACACACCATCTATCCACAGCATCAAGGACTCGTTTCCATGGGTATCTCATCAGCATATGTCAAAGGTGGGATTTGTTGTCTCTCTCCCGCACCCCCCAGACCTTCTCCTCCTTTAGGGAGCATGAATGTTACCCTGACCACCTTGCCACCTGAGGCAGAAAAGGGGCATCAGCTTAGGGGAGTTAGCCTCATTTCTTATGTCTTGTTGATCTGTGGCTCTGATCATTCTGTTTCTAAAGGGTCTCTGGAACCTGCTCCCTCCTCTCTGGTTCTCCTGCCCCATGACTGTATTCCCATTTTTTAAAATAAGTGGGTGGCTATTCTTAAGGCTGTTTTTCCTGCCCCTTCCTTCATCAGTGGTCTTCCGCAGATTACAGGAAGAAGTAAAAACTCCTTGGAAGATCATTTCTCCTTACTAGATTGCACATTTCTTTTTCTTTTCTTTTTTTTTTTTTTTTAGATTGCACATTTCTTAAACTGAAAACTTATCTTGTTATTTACTGGGTCCCTGACCAACCAGGATTTGGCACAGCACAAAGCCCACATAGGGGCTTAGTAAAGACTCAGGCAGTTGACCAAACATCTTCAGGCAGCCGACAGCTCGTTCAGCTTGTGGCCGGGCCCTCTGCAGTGTCAGAAACAGGACCTGCAGTATATCTGGGGTGGGCAGGGGACTCTTTCTTCCTGAGTTCCCTGTTTCCTGTAGTTACCTCTATACTGGTCACTTCGGAGGAGAGATCTTTCCTCTTAAAGTCTTGATGGGAAGTGACGTGGGTGGATAACTCCAGGAAGACTCGGCCTCGATAAGTTAGACCATCCTTAAGAGAGTCGGGAATATTCTAGGGCAACGGGAAGGAAAATGGTGAGAAAAGGAACGAGAGAAGAGCAGATAAATGTCCTCTGACACCTATGCCACGAAGACAGAGATGTCCAATGACTTCCTGCCTACGGCTGACCACAGTCCTGGGGCGGAATTCCATACACCCCCAGGCACTACTGCGCCCAGAAACCTCTGTGCCTTGACCCCTCTTCCATACCCCGAGGCCCATTCCTCCTCTTCATGCATTGGATCCACCTATTAACCCGAAGCGCGTGTTCCCGGAAAATGCTTCCCGCTTGGAGGAGGCTGTGATAAGCTCCCAGCCTGGCCAATCAGAGCATGCCCCTCCTCCTTGACAACAGTGATTGGTTCAAGGGGAGTACACATGACCTAAGGCAGCCAATTAGAATCTTCCCCTGGCCTTCCGTATTGGAGGCTCTGATGGCCACTGCCTGCTGGGAGCTTCACTGCAGTGGGAAAGAAAGTAGCCCAGGCGGAAGAGTGGCAGTGGCAGAGCTGAAAGATGGTGTGAATGAGAGAGTCTCTTGATGGCATGGAGGTCCCGGTGCCTGCAACTTGTCCTCATTCAGAGTTCTTCCCAGCCCATTTCCCGCCTTTTAAGCGAACTGGAGTTGGCTTCCCGGCCGTTATCATCAGTCTTTAACAGTCCAATACTTTCTACATTTACCTATGCTGTCTTTTTGTCTCCTGTGTCCTTTCCACATGCTGGAAGTCTTACCCGACGTTTCACCTCAATGCTCCTTCCTCAGGGAACGCCCCGAGCTCTCCATCTATTTCTTTCTCGTGCCACACTCGTCCCATATAGATATAGCCATTAACCCATAGCTTGCATGTTCTCTACTAGCGTGGTGGACAGAAACCAGGATCAGGCCCTCCCCCAGCACCTCTGAGGCCCCAGAGGCTTTCATTCGGTTGGTATTACCTCCACTATTCCCTAGAGCTGTCATGAGAAGCTTACAGTGTTTTCTTCCTGGATCCTGAAAGGGGCCTTTTTACCCCCTCGGAGAGTCAAGAAGCTGGGGCCAAAACAGGGTAGGAAGCCAGAGTACATTCCTGCAAGGAGAGAGAGTGAGGGGGGTGGGAGCAGGTGGGAGAGGTACAGGAGGCAGGGGCCAGGGGGATTGCTTGCCTTCTATTTCTGCTCCAGTAGATGAGATCTGGTTGAGGAACAGGCTGACGGTCCCAATCTCATCCTGGCAACTGTTCTTGGGACTGGAGAAAAACACATCCCGCAGGCTGAACTGCTCACCTAGCTCTGATTGTCTCCTCCCTGGCATGTTTTTCAACCTCCACCCTGGCTTACCAGTCCAGGACTCTGAACTTGATGTAGCTGGAGAGGCAGGGCAGCTGCAAGGGAAAGCAAGAACCACTGCGGGTGCATGCTCCGAGGTTCTGGTCCTCACAGAGACTGAGTGTAGCTGGGAAGTGCTGGGTCTGGGTCCAAGGCCTGGCTCAGTCACCAGTAAGCCATGTCACCACAGCCAAGATGGATTTACCATGGGAGCATATAGGCCTGTGGCTGTGGACCTCCCCACTCACATGGGCCCCTTGCAAAGCCCTGGAAGAGGCCTATGACTGTGTCCCCTGGTCATTTTGTATTCTTATTCTTGAAATGGTTCCCTAATCACATGAGCTTCAGGACTGAGACCTGAGTCCACCCTGACCATGGGCTCAATGACTGCAGTCCTCACACAGCTCTTCACTGTCTGAAGTCATGCTCGTCAACAGTCTTGCACAGAGGTTGTGGCTTAGAAAGTCTTCTTCAAGGTTAGCAGTTAACTTTTAAACAGCAGGACATCTATCCCTTCCAGAATAAATAATAGTAGTTGCTGTTGTGGGAAGGGTTTCCTTTGTCCCCAGGCCTGGGCTGAATGATCTACATGGATCACCTGAGTGACTCCTCCCAACAACCCCATAAGCCCAGTGCTGTTATTCCCATCTCTAGACAGGAAAACTGAGGCACAGAGAAACTGAGTTCCTCAAGTTCTCTTTAGAAGCTCTCTTTAGAGCTCTTTTTATTTTTTTATTTTTTTTATTTGACAGAGATCACAGGTAGGCAGAGAGGCAGGCAGAGAGAGAGGAAGGAAAGCAGACTCCTTGCTGAGCAGAGAGCCCGATGCGGGGCTCAATCCCAGGACCCTGGGATCATGACCTGAGCCGAAAGCAGAGGCTTTAACCCACTGAGCCACCCAGGGGCCCCTCTCTTTAGAGCTCTTAACAACTCTGCCACAACCCAGTGAGGGCTGCAATTGTCCCTATTTACAGATGGGGAATGAGGCCCAGAGAGGCAGAGGGACTTGTTCACGGCCACACAGTCAGGGTCGCAGTCAGGACTGGAACCCAAGCTTCAGATTCTTGTTTCCACTCTGCCACAGGGTCCCCTCAAATAGGAAAACAAAAACAATCTGTGTGTAAAACAGAGCTGCTGGGGCCTGAGAGGTACCTAAATCCTCTCAGTTGGGGTCTCTTCTCACTGCACTTCCTGAGGCATGGCTGAGAGTACTTCCCATTGTCCTTTCTACTTGTCTGTTCTCCCCTTGCCAGGGAGCTGGGGACTGGGGTGGAGAAGGGGAAGGGCTTTCCAGTTGAGCAAGTGGTTAAGAAGAAATGAGGAAAGGCTCCCTAGAAGTGGAGAGATAGGCACTGGAGGGCATCCTTGTCTTCCAATATTACAAATCCTCCACATTCAAATTTATTGCTGAACCATCTTTTCATCTACGCTGTTGAGAACTCTCTTCCCCTTTCCCGGTCCCTTATCTTGACTGTCCTTGTTCTGGGGCCCTTGGATTGTAAGCCAGCATACACCCATTTTCAGCAGAACTTCCCCTGTAGCCTGCCTTGCTGGGGCACTGACAGGCCGGCCCCAGATGCTACTGTCTCTGTGGTCATCCTGCCATTCAGAGTGAGGGTCACATCTGCATTTCCACAGTGTAGTCACAATCTTCCAAACAGCTCCAGCCTAGGAGACTGTGTTACTTGGGAAATGCATGAGGGTCCAAGGGGTGTTTGGACATCTTTAAATGTTGGAAGGCCTCTTTAGGGATGAAGGAGGGCCCAACCTGTGCCACTGGTTTCTGAACCTAAAGGCAGCGGAACATCGAGGAAGACTTGCAAGGCTCTGAGCAGCCACAGAGCATCTGAGGATCCCGGCCACAAACCTCATCACAGCTGGAGACAGGTGGGAGGAAACAAAGGTGGGGGATAAACTAGGCTCCTTTTAAAATCTCTTCCTACTTTAAGAGTCTATAAAATCACTCAGGAAGGTAGGGATTATGAAGAATGGGTTAAAGATGATGCCTCATCAGGAGGCAGACCAGGGAAGTTTCTAGCAAGGAGGAGGGTCCCAGGAGAGTAGAGGGGAACTCATGAGCTGGTTTTATGTCACACAAATGTAAGGTATAAGGAAAGCAAACACTCTGTGTAGCCAAATAGAAGCCACACAAAGTTTTATGCACTAATACTTAATGACAGTGCTCAAGCTATCTCTCAGAATTGCGTACTCTTTCTACATGCAGTTCTTAGAAGCCTGACATGTAGTCAAAAGGCAATCAAGGCTCTTCCAGGGCTTTAAGAAGACTGGCATCCACATTACTGATAGGTGACTGAGAAGGACTGAAAAGCTATAGAAATCAGACTACAGAATCCCACAAAGAGCAGCAACTTGGACCCGTTTAGTATAGGAACAAAAAGCCATACTCCATGTAGCCCATATACTATGTTTCCACAATACCTCTAGGCCATTAACAAAGAGCTATAATTATGTCCAGGGCACTTTGCCTAGAAGATAAGAAAATACATAATACAATGTAGATTTAAATGATTCTTTTGGTGGGCGCCTGGGTGGCTCAGTGGGTTAAAGCCTCTGCCTTTGGCTCAGATCACGATCCCAGTGTCCTGGGATCGAGCCCTGCATCAGGTTCTCTGCTCCGCAGGGAGCCTGCTTCGTCCTCTCTCTCTGCCTGCCTCTCTGCCTACTTGTGATTTCTCTCTGTCAAATAAATAAAATATTTTTAAAAAAATGATTTTTTTTTGGTTTTGTTTTATAATGTAGATAAAAGACACATTTAGGTTTTTGGGAAAGTTCAGTTGTATGGCCCACTCATTTCTTAATATTGGACAAAAAGTACATTTTCTGAAATCTGTCCTGGGCTTCTTCATGTTCCCTATCAGGAAGATCTCACCCCCACTCCCTGGTGCCCCCCACTGTCCCCACCCCATGCTTCTTGGCCCCTACCTTCCCTCCACACCCCTCCACACCCAAACTTCCCTTTCATTTGTGGGCCAGGAGGAGGAGAGTGGTCAAGGTGGAACAGGACTGGGCACCTGGGGGGCTCAGTCGGTTAAGCATCCGACTCTTGATTTCAGCTCAGGTCATGATCTCGGGGTCGTAAGATCGAACTCTGCGTTAGGCTCCAGGCTCCACACTGAGAGTGGAGACCTCGTGGGATTCTCTCTCTCTCCTTTCTTCTCCCTCTACCCCTCCCCCAGCTCTCTCTCTCTCAGAGAAGAAAAGAAAAAAAGAAGATAGAACAGCAATACCTGAATCTGGAAGGTCAGGATCTGGTTCCATATCGGGTTCTCGGTTTGAGTCAGCACATTTGTCTTGAGCTAGGAATATCCCAGAACAGTGTGTCAGCCTGTCCCCTCCTCTCTCCACAGACCTCACCTTCCACCCCTTCCAGCCCTGCCCAGGGATGGACGCTGTCTTGGCACAGGGCTGATCATGGGAATGGTCTAAAGACACTTTGACAACCTCTCCTCAGGTACAACGTCAGTCTTTTGTATATCTGCCCAGATCCAGATTCCCTATTACTTATCTTCAGATCATCTTTCAGTTGACTTTGTTATTAAATAGTCATAAGGTTACTAACTTTATATATGAGTGCATACACATAGATTTTGTTAGATAAACTCTATGATCCCAACAGAAAAGTGAGCAAAAACCATGCTGACTGTGATAGTACACAATGACATACCCTTTCCAAAGCATCACTTGACTTCATTTTTAAACCTGGCGCTATTCTAAGCAATCATGTCAGTGAAATCAAGGGTTGGTTGGACTGGTTAATACATAATGGTTAATACATTTTTGTATTTGTAAACATACTGGTTAATACATTTTTAATACATACTAGAAAAATCAGAGATATTAACATTTTTTGAAAATTGTGAAATTGTGTGCCAGCTACTGCCCAAGAGCATCTCACCTAGACCTGAGCATGCAAACCACATTCAGTGTGGTGGTTTTAAAATATGTCCACAAAAAAAAAAAAATAAATAAAATAAAATAAAATAAAATATGTCCACAAGTCTTTTGGAAAACCTTCCTTGGAAAGGTAGACATTAATTTCCCTCCCTTTATATATGGGCTGGATTTAATGATGCTTCTAATAGGTAGAATATGGTGGAAACAATGGTTTATGAATTCTGAGACAAACCTACTTAACCCAGCATTCCCCAAATTTGAACATACAGACAATCCATCAGCACACTTTGGAAAATACTACTCTCTATTCACAGAGGATCACGGGATGTCAACAACTCTTTTGCCCAGAACCTTCAATTTCTAGATGAAGAAACCCAGCCCCAAAGAAGACAGTGACCGTTTTAGTGTTGTTTGCGGACATGTTGTTTCATTCACTCATTCGTGCCCTTCATGCACATTAGGCGTTCAGTGGGCATCTGCTCCTGCAGGGCTCTGTGCCCAGCTCGCAGACACAGGGTGACTCAGCCATGGCCTCCATCTTCAAAGACTTCCTGGTCCAGTGGGGATTCAGCCCACTGATGGAAGACCTGAGATCAGAATCCAGGGGTCGAGCCCACCAACTCCATCTTTCCTCACACACTATCCAGGTGACAATTTCTCAAAATCTCAGACCCTTTCTACACTTACCTTTTCCCCAATTAGTTCCACCTCCAACACAGGACTCACTAAGTGCTGTTTCTCTGTGAACAAGAAGTTATAAGATTTCTAAGACAGCAGCATTTTTTTTTAAGGGGAAGACACATAGAGCTGACAGAACAACTCACACCCCTTCACCATCCGCACTACACCCCTACCCAGGCAGACCTCTCCCATGTCCACTCTATCTCTATGTGTCATGGCATATAATGGCAGTGAGGGTGGGCACTGCCATAGAGAACTTGGAGTCTGCATCCAGGCATCAAAGACAGGTCAGGTGCATTTGATCCATTTTAAAGTGTATCTATGGGGTCTTGATGAAACAAATCTTGGTGGATTTCAGTCTCATCCTCTCCCCCACTCCCTGAATCTTAGGTTCGCATCAGAATGGAACAGGGAGGGGCGCCTGGGTGGCTCAGTAGGTTAAAGCCTCTGCCTTTGGCTCGGGTCATGATCCCAGGGTCCTGGGATCGAGCCCCTCATCGGGCTCTCTGCTCAGCAGGAGGCCTGCTTCCTCCTCTCTCTCTCTCTGCCTGCCTCTCTGCTTACTTGTGATCTCTGTCAAGTAAATAAATAAAATCTTAAAAAAATTTTTTTTAAATAAAAAAAAAATGAAACAGGGAAGCCCCATGAGAATCTAGGGTGCCACTGTGTAGGGGACCTCAGGGTCAGTCCCACCCTGCCACCCTGACTCTAACTGAGATGAAGGTCCTCTGCGCAGTAGATGAAGAACTGTAAGTAGGCTACGTTGGTCGGGACCACCGTTGACTTGAAGATCTCAGTAGTGCTGTCATCAGCCCCATAGGGCGTCTCTTGATCTACCTGCAGAGACCAGAGAGCTGAAAGGTAGAGTCATAGGATGGTCATGACCATATCCACCAGATTTGACTTCCCCGGCTTTCCATTTGGTACAGGGGAGGGACGGACAACCCTCAAGTGACACGCAGGCAAATAAAAGCATGTGAAGATCAGTGGCCACTCTGAGGGCCCAGAGGCACCCTATGGAAGCAGCCACAGTAGGAAATGTCACTGGGGTGTCAGGGCAGCCTCACCAGAACCTGGTCTCCCACACCGAGGACACAGATGGTGACTTTCAGGTAGCCTCTCACACCACTGTTGGGTTCATTCGGCTGGCAGAGGCCTAACCATTTCCTCATGAGTGTGTGACCTGAAGGGGCAGAGGGCCCATGGGAGACCAGCCTCCAGTCTCCATCCTTCTTCCCTGAAACCAGTCTTTGTTTCTGTGGGAGAGGGGTGTAGAAATGGGTCTCATATATTCTGGGTCCCATACAGTAGCAGAGGAAATTGGGAGTCACTCCTACCCATAGGCAAATCTAGTGCACTCACCATGCTGCCAGCCATTGCCTTTAGGAAACAGAGAACCCTCTTCTCCATCCTGGGAACCTACAGTTGTTGTCACTATCCTGGTCTGAGAGAGGCAAGCAGTTTCCCCAACCCTAAGCTCCAACCTTTACCTACTATGTATGTTATGGCCAGATTGTATGCTATGGTCACAGCAGAAACCTCTACTCAAATGCCAGTCTCTGAATACTGCCCTCAAAAATTAGAAATGGAAACCAAGGCAGCAATAAAAGTTGAGCATGTGACCCAAAGGAATGCCTTGAGTTTTAAAGATATTATTATACAGAAAATAATTCATACCCTCTAATACTTTCCTCTCATGTGCTGAACGTACAGGGATTTTGAAATGATTGGACAACTGTCCTGCTTTTTCTTAGAAGGCACACATACTTGCAACAGCTGATACCTACCTGGAGAATAGTAGATAAACCCAATATCTGTCTGAAAAGACAAGAGTAGAGTAAGGATTAGTTAGGGCCTCTAGCCAAGATTTGCGATATCAACAAATAGCAGTACTGTACTGACAGTATTAGCCAACAATGTTTGAGAACTCGCCCTGCCCAAACTCCTTTACTCTTTACAACAGCCTACACTCTGGTCCTTTGTCACCTCCACTCTGCAGAGGAGGATACTCAGTGTGAGAGAAGGGCCTGAAGTCTTACAACTATTACTTGAGAAGGTCTGGACTGAAAGGGTTCTAAATCACCACACAGCACTACCTGGCCCACACAGCGTTGACTCTTCCCTGGGTTGGGAAGGGTGTCTCCCATCCTGGGGAAGAGGCTGGTCAAAGGAGGAGCTGGCAAAGAGACTATGGGCTTTCCCTTTTCCTCTGGGAGAAGGTTTCTGCCTGAGGCCTGAGGGATGTGGTACAGGATTGAAGTACTTGTATCCTGAATATATAAGAAAATCTCAAAACTGAGTAGTAAGAAAATGACCCAATGAAAATGAGCAAAAGATTTGAAGATTTGTTTATTTAATTTTGAGAGAGAGAGAGAGAGAGTAGGGGGAAGGGCAGAGGGAGGCAATATTTCAAGCAGACTCCCAGCTGAGCAAGGCGCTCAATGCGGGGCTAGATCCCACGACCCGTGAGATCATGACCTGAGTCGAAAGAGTCAGATGCTTAACGGACTGAGCCACCCAGGCGCACCAAATGAACAAAAGATCTGAACACACAATTCAACCAAGAAAATATGTAGATGACGAAGAAGGACATGGGAAATGCTCAACACCACTAGTCATTAGGGAACTGTAAATTAAAATCATAGTGAGATAGCTTTACATATAATTAGAATGGCTAAAGTAAAAAAGATGGACTACATGAAGTGTTGATGAGAATGGGGGGCAATGGGAACTCTAGCACACACTGGTGGTGGGAATATAAAACGATAAAGGCTGGAATTGGTGGGATAAAAACGGTTAGGAAGTTTCTCTAAAAGTTAAACACACACCTAATGTATGAGCTACTCAATCCACTTCTACATATTTATCCAAGAGAAATTAAATTAAGATTTGTACATCCCTGTTATAGCATTTTTACTGTAACAGTCAAAAATTGAAAATGAGCTAATGTTCATCAACAGACAAGTGGTTAAACAAACTGGGATAAATCTGTAAATGGACTCCTCAGCGATGCAAAGGAATGAATTATTGACACGTGCAATGAACATGGATGAATCTCAGAATAATTATGCGGAATGAAAGAAGCCAAACAAAAAAGGGTACATGCTGTTCTGCCCCATTTATATAAAATTCTGGGAAATGCAAATGAAGCTATAGTTATAGAAAGCAGACCAGTGGCTGCCTGGGGGTGGGAGGGAGTAGGATAGGGATGAGAGATGAGGGTGAAAATAACAAAGGGGCATGAGGAAACTTTTGGGGATGATAGATGTGGCAGATACGTTTGTTATCTTGATTGTGATGATGGTTCCCAGGAATACACACATTTTAAAATGTATCAAATTATACATCTTAAATCATGTATAATTAATTCTATGTCAATTGTACCAAACCAAACCCAACCAAACCCAGGCACCCCTAATGAAGCAACAGATCCAGGCAGTGATCGTCAGTGGCTGTTAATAACATAAAAAGAGAGACCAACAGACATTCTGTGCCTCCCACTGAAGTCATTTTGCCAAATAATGGACCCAAATCTGACAAGCCTCTAGACAGCAAATAGCTGGGCAGAGTGACGTGTGAAATGATCCTTTGGAGATGCAGTCCGCAAAATCCAGACTGGAGGAAAACTCTACAGGACAAACTATCCAGTTTCTTTAACAAATTATGAGGGAGAAAAAGTGGGCAGGACCCACAGAATCAGAGAGACCTAAAAATACATTTTAACCAGCTGCAATGTATGTGCCTGGTCTGCATCTTAACTTGAACAAACCGTGGAGGGAATTCATAAGATGATTAGGGGAAGTGATCTGAAGGGGCACGTGCACCCGAATGTTTATAGCAGCAATGTCTACAATAGCCAAACTATGGAAAGAACCTA